AGTGGAGCTGCAAGGCCGGCGGTGGCGGCCGGGACCATTGGGGGCGGGCTGTGTGGCCTTATGACACACTTCCGGTGATGTCAGGGGGTGTGGCCTTATGACACACTTCCGATGATGTCAGGGGGTGTGGCATATGCTAATGAGTTATGCTAATGAGTTCCCCTAGCTCTTTTTCTACGAAACGGTAGCTCAGAAACACAGTGGATGACTTGGCATCTAGTTGTGACGTAATAGCAGAGGGGATGAGCGGAACTCTCTCCTCGGGCACAGGGTCATCAAGTGACCTTAAGCCAGCCTTTCTGCCACAGCCCCGCCCCACAAAGAGGGGCACGAAATAAGAATACCGGTTTGCCTTACAGGGTTGTCGTGAACAAATTTAAGTAAGTGAAGCAATATGGGTATAATAAGGGTGAAAGAAATATGGTATGGATTGCAACAATATAAACCCGTGAAACATCGGTATAACATATATAGGACATTATAACATCAGTGGCTATTAGCCACAAGGTGAAGAAGAAGAAGAGGAGGAGGAGGAGGAGGTTGGATTTATACCCCACCCTTCACTTGGAGTCTCTGAGCGGCTTACAATTGCCTTTCCATTCCCCTCCCCACAACTGACACCCTGTGAGGGAGGTGGGGCTGAAAGAGCTCTTTCCAGAACTGTCCTTGAGAGAACAGCTCTGACAGAACTACGGCTTGCCCAAGGTCATCCAGCAGCTGCGAGTGGAGGAGTGGGGAATCAAACCCGGTTCTCCCAGATTAGAGTCCGCGCACTTAACCACGACACCAAACTGGCCCTCCTACACCAAACGGGATGGATCACCCTGTCTGGAGCCATGATGCTCTGTATCCTTGGTGCTTGGGGGACAACAGTGGGAGGGCTTCTAGAGTTCTGGCCCCACTGGTGGACCTCCTGGTGGCCCCCGGGTTTTGGCCCCTGTGTGACACAGAGTGTTGGAATGGGTGGGCCACTGGCCAGATCCAACATGGCTTCTCTTACGTTCTTATGACTGTGATTAATACATAGTGGCTCAAGTGGTTTAGACGCTGAACTGCAGGCTGTGGAAGATCAGTAGTTCAGCAGTTCAAGACCCGGGTGCCGCATGATGGAGTGAGCTCCCATCTCTAGTTCCAGCTCCTGCCAACCTAGCAGGAAAGCAAGACATTGCAAGTAGATAAAAAGGGACCACTTTGGTGGGAAGGTCACAGCGTTCCGTGCGCCTTGGTGTTTAGTCATGCCGGCCACATGACCACGGAAACGTCTTCGGACAGCGCTGGCTCTTCGGCTTGGAAACGGAGATGAGCACCGCAACCCTAGAGTCGGATTCGACTGGCTTTCGAGCAAGGGAACCTTTACCTTTACCTTTAATACATATGATATATGAAGTCCAAGAAATGAATGGTGTAAGGAACTTCGTTGCCCTAGTTTGCAAAAGCGTCAAAAAGGGATCGGATCAACATATGGAGCAGAGATCCATCAGTGGCTATTAGACACAACGTCTAGATGGAACACTCTGTCTGGGGCAGTGATGCTCTGCATTCTTGTGCTTGGTAGTCAACAGTGGGTGGGCTTCTGGAGTTCTGGCCCCACTGGTGGATCTCCTGACGGCAACTGGGTTTTGGCTACTGTGTGACACAGACTGTTGGACTGGATGGGCCATTGGCTTGACCCAACATGGCTTCTCTTATGTTCTTAATCATATGAAAATGTAATTTCTGTTACAGGGAGTACAAACTCACTTGTAAGTGTTGCAGAAACTCTGTATAAATGCTAAATATTATTATTTTGGCCGTCTGAATAGGTGTCAGCATTCCCTGTCCCTGTTTTGTGTCTCACCCCAGGGGAAGAAATTCTTGGGCGACCTGCTGACAGACGGGAAGATTGTTTGGCAGGAGACGGGCCAGGTGTTCAATTCGCCAAGCGCCTGGGCAACGTATTGCAAGAAGTTGGTCAACCCGGCCAAGAAATCTGGGTGCGGCTGGGCGTCTGTCAAGTACAAAGGCCAGAAGCTGGACCAATACAAAGCCGTCTGGTTAAAGAAGTACCAGCCCAACACCCCCCCTGCAGATGAGGTGACCCCATTGCCTTCCTGGTTCATCCTTCTTTGTTCACAGAGGAAATGAAATCCTAGGGAACGTGGGGAACTCCCTGCCACAGGATGTTGTGATCAGTGTTCCCTCTAAGCTGAGTTAGTGTGAGCTAGCTCACAGTTCTTTAGCCTCCAGCTCACACATTTTTGTCTCAGCTCAGGAAGGAGGGCTCCAGAGCAGACTAATTTATGCGGTAGCCAAATTGTTTGCTCTTAACTTTAACGCCAGTAGCTCACAAAATAGAATTTTTGCTCACAAGACTTCACAGCTTAGAGGGAACATGTGATGGCCGATAGATGGCTTTAAAAGGGGAGTAGGCAGATTCTTGGAAGAGGAGTGCTGTCGATGGCTGATACGCACGATGGAACCTCCATGTTCAGAGGCAGTCTGCCTCTGCACGCCGGTTACAACGGCAGGTTGCCTTGTTTGTAGTACTTCTGAGACCGTCTGGTTGGACATAGCGGGAAATGGGATGTGGGACTAGATCCAGCCAGGGTTCTTAGGCGCTGCTGGGAGTGTCCGCATTACACTCTTAAAACTTGTCTGCTGCTTCAGAGCTACAAGGTGTTGGCTTGGTTTCCGCTGTAGGCCGTGAGCAGTGTCCCCTCTAAGCTGAGTCAGTGTCAGCTAGCTCACAGTTTCTTAGCCTCCGGCTCACGCATTTTTGTCTCTGCTCAGGAAGGATGGCTCCAGAGGAAACTGATTTACGCCGCAGCCCAGTCGCTCGCTCACCATTTTTATGCCCCTAGCTCCCAAAGTAGAATATTTTGCTCACAAGACTCCACGGCTTAGAGGGAACATTGGCTGTGAGTCCCGGTCAGCTCTCGTAATTGCAATTCAGTGATGGCTGGGCATGAGGGGGGAGGCTAGGATTCGCCAAGGGAATTCTCAGCCCTTCACCGAAGTATAGTTTTGAGGATCTGGGATATTCAGATCCAAATCCCCACCTTGCTATCGAAGTGTTCACACTTCAGTCACTTTGGGTTCGCTTTCCTCACTGGGTTGTCGTGAGGATAAAATGGAAAACGGCGCGTGTCAGCTGGAACTATTGGGAAGGAGGGCGGGCTGAAAAGGCAATCAGTTCTCTGAATTCCCCCCCCCCCCAAGAATCAGAATCACAGAGCTGGGGGGGGCCAGACAGGCCATCTAGTCCAGCCCCTGCTCAATGCAGGATCAGCCTAGAGCAGTGATGGCGAACCTTTTAGGGGCCGAGTGCCCAAACTGCGACCCAAAACCCACTTATTTATCGCAAACTGCCAACACGGAAATTTAACCTGAATACTGAGGTTTTACTTTAGAAAAAACAACTCCTACGTCAATTTAAGATGATCCAAACAAAGTAAGGAAAGCAATCCCAAATGCTTTCATTTACTTAAAATTATTTGGCAGAGAATTCGACATTTGAATGATGGTCTGGGCCTGGCTGGGGCGATGGCACGCGTGCCCACAGAGAGGGCTCTGAGTGCCACCTCTGGCACCCGTGCCATAGATTCGCCACCACTGGCCTAGAGCATCCCTGACAAGGGTTTGTCCAGCCCCTGCTTAAAGACTGCCAGTGAGGGGGGAGCTCACCACCGCCCTCGGCAGCTGATTCCACTCTTGCACAACTCTGACTGTCAAAAAGTTTTTCCTAATATCCAGCCGGTACCTTCCCACCCTTAATTTAAACCCATTCTTGCGAGTCCTCTCCTCTGCTGCCAACAGGAACAGCTCCCTGCCCTCCTCTAAGTGACATCCCTTCTTCAAATACTTCAAGAGAGCCATCCTGTCCCCCCTCAGCAGTGTTCCCTCTAAGCTGAGTTAGTGTGAGCTAGCTCACAGTTTTCTAGCCTCCGGCTCACACATTTTTGCCTTAGCTCAGGAAGGAGGGCTCCAGAGTAACCTAATTTATGCAGTAGCCAAATCGCTCGCTGACGACTTTGATGCCAGCAGCTCACAAAGTAGAATTTTTGCTCACAAGACTCCACAGCTTAGAGGGAGCATTGCGGCCCTCAGCCTCCTCTTCTCCAGTCTGAACATTCCCAGGTCCCTCAGCCTTTCCTCACAGGGCTCGGTCTCCAGGCCCCTGATCATCCCCGTAGCTCTCCTCTGCCCCTGCTCCATTCTGCCCACATCCTATTCCATCTCCCAGTTCCAAAAAATCCATTTAATAGAGAACGCAGCAGATATTAAACTGATAAGAAGAGATTGACTTCCTTAGAGAATGTTTACCTCCTAGCCCAAAGGCCGAGAAGCAATGACTTTTGAAGCTCATAGTGGCTGGGTGCTTCTGTGTTAATGAGGGCTTGAATGCCATCTCCTACTGAAGAAGAAGAAGAGGAGATTGGGTTTATACTCCGCCCTTCACTACCCAAAGGAGTCTCAGAGCGGCTTACAAACTCCTTTCCCTTCCCCTCCCCACAACAGACACCCTGTGAGGCAGGTGGGGTTGAGAGAGCTCTGACAGAAACTGCTCTTTTTCAAGAACAGCTCTTATCAGAACTACGGCTTGCCCAAGGTCATCCAGCCAGGTGCAAGTGGAGGAGTGGGGAATCAAACCAGGTTCTCCCAGATTAGAGTCCGCGCACTTAACCACTACACCAAACTGGAGGAGGAGGAGATTGGATTTATACCCACTCTTCACTTCCCAAAGGAGTCTCAGAGCAGCTTACAAACTCCTTTTCCTTCCCCTCCCCACAACAGACACCCTGTGAGGTAGGTGAGACTGAGAGAGCTCTGACAGAAAACACTCTTTTTCAAGAACAGCTCTGACAGAACTATGGGGAATCAAACCTGATTCTCCAAGATTAGAGTCTACGCACTTAACCACTACACCAAACTGGCTCTCACGCCAAACTCACCAAATTGAGAAGGTTGTGTGCATGTGTAAATGTCGTGAAGTCAAAGCTGACTTATGGTGACCCCAGCAAGGGGCTTCCAAGGCAAGTGAGAAGCAGAGATGGTTGGCCATCACCTTTCCCTGCGGAGCCTTTTTTTTTAACCCCCAAAGGGATATTTTTTTATTGCATTTTCTATAAACTACAAAGAAACAAAGAAGGGTATCTACGAACTATGGGTGAAAGGAAAGACGTGGTGGCCATTACAAAAACTTATATATAATAAAAAGGTAAATTATTAAAAAGCTTATTAGTTACATTAGGTGTGATCAATATATGTATGCTTATATTATCAAAACCAGTAGAAATAACTGTTCAAAAATATCACAAAGAAGCCATTAATATCCACTTAAGGCAAACTTCAGAGTCATTCAGCATCTCATTTCCCCCCCGTTCTATTCCTCAATTGGTAGTCTCGTTTGGGGGCAGCTGCCCCACGTTGCTAATCAGAGTCTTCTTCAGAAGTTGTAGTATCAGAATCATTGCCGCTTCCTTTGTCGCTATCATTGCCTTCTTTGCCGTCCTCTCCTGTAGAACCAAGTTGCTGCTTCAGAAACTCCCGAGCTTTAGAAGCCGTGTTAATTCATTCTTTCTTATCATTTATCTTAAACAGGATGCCTTTGGGGACCAGCCATCTGTAGGGGATGTTGTTTGTTTGCAAAAACCTTGCCAAGTCTTTGAATTTCTCTTCTTCCTGATTTCAAATGGAATCTCTTTCAAAACCCTTATTTCCTTGCCCTCGATTTTTAGGGACGTTCCTGATGTTGCCTTCAGGATTTGATCCCTCACATGCCTTTTAGAGAATCTGACCATTATCCTCTGCAGAGCCTTTTGTGGAGGTCTCCCTTCCAACTACCGGCCCGGCTTAGCTTCCGAGATCTGACAAGATCGAGCTATACCATTCTGCCTTCTGTCCCCCACAACAGTGACCTTTATTAATATGCACATGTGTGCTGTTTGAATCCATTCGTTATACAAATAGACACATAAAAACCGCCTTTCTCATTAAAAGCAAAGCACACAGAGAAGTGTATGACTACTCCCATGCTTATTACACATAGGCCGCAATCCCATGCATACTTATCCAGGAGTAAGTCTTCTTGAAATCAGTGGGGTTTTACACGAGCAATTGCATTACAGGAGTGGATTATTAGCAGTGTGTAGAGTGCTGACAAGTTGCAGCTGACTTATGGAGAACCCAAAGGGTTTTCAAGGCAAGAGGTGAACAGAGGTGGTTTGCTGTCGTCTGCCTCTGCGTAGCGACCCTAGGCTTCCTTGGTGGGCTCCCATCCCAATACCAACCAAGGTCGACCCTGTTTTTTTAATTTTTTTTTATTATTTTCAATTTTTAACAATTCTAACATTTTAAACAGTGAACAATTATTCTTCCAATTACATTCACATCCTGTAAATAGTTCCTGAGTATATACAACGTTATAACATGTTCAAAGAATTACAATACATTACTCATCACACTTCCGAATATGTTTTCAGTATAGAGATAACAGACTTGGCGTAAGCTTAATAGAAACATTAGGAGACCCTGTTTAGCTACTCAGATCCAGCAAGACTGAGCTAACCTGGTCCGTCCGGGTTACGATTCTCGGTAAGGCCTGCAAATTACAAATGCTGGTGGCAGCCAGTGCTCCCACTAAGCTGTGGAGTCTTGTGAGCAAAAATTCTACTTTGTGAGCTACTGGCATTAAAGTTGTAAGTGAGCAATTTGGCTGCTGCCTAAATTAATTTGCTCTCGAGCCCTCCTTCCTGAGCGGAGACAAAAATGTGTGAGCCGGAGTAGAGATGTAAAATTTCCGGAAATTTTGAATCACTAGAGATGTAAAATTTCCGGAAATTTTGAAGCTCGGAAAACCCCCCGGGTTTTTTTCCTTTTTTTTCTGGGAAAAAATGGAAATTTTCAGAAAAATTGGAAAAAATGCTACATTAGCATTTCTTTTGTTTTCTAGATTGAAAGTCATTCTGTTACTTTAGGAACATAAAATATGACTATGGACATTTTTATTTGGCATGAAATTATCACAACTAGCATATTAAAAATATAGTGTATCCAAACAATTATTACAAACAGAATACCCACCCACATGCAAAAACAAAACTGAAACCTTTTTCTTTTCTTGTGACAATAGTACCTCCTAAAGGAAGAAATGCATCTTGTTCTTGCATTGGAGAGTTCAGTTTGTAACCTAGGACTTGCTTGTCCTCAGTGCACAGAAATTAGATCAATCTGATACCATATATATATATATTAGAAATGATTTGGAAAATATTTGAACACCTTGTCTTAAAATATTTTATTCATCATGTTAAAATAAAATGTTCCATAATCAATTTTTTTCTTTTCTTTTTTCAATTTTTTCGGAAAAAAACAAAAAAGGCTTCAGAAAAAAAATGGAAAAAACCCTGTTTCCCCCCCAAATGTTTCCGGTTTTTTTCCAGGCCTTCGCATCTCTAAGCTGGAGGCGAAAAAACTGTGAGCTGGCTCACACTGACTCAGCTTAGAGGGAACGCTGGTGGCAGCATCTCCACTTCCAGCCACCCATCCTGGAAGAACTGAAATATTTTTATGACTCTACCAAATGTACCAATAATGGAGATCTAATAAATTTCCTTTAGGAAGGAACTCCAAAAATCAGGGGGAGGGGTGGGATCACTGCTCTCCCCAGAATATTGGTTATGGAAGGCCACTCAAGGATAACACTTTATGCGTTCTAGAACTCGGCACAGGTCTTTGAAACATATTCTGAGAGTGCCGCTGGTCTCTGAACCAGGACAGTTTGGGAAGGGTGCAAGAATCAGCTTGGAGATAGTTGATTCTGTCGATTTCTGTGGTGTTCCGCCTTACCTAGGGCTTGGTGAGTGAAGGAGAGGAGGAAGAACTTGCTGATGATGAGGAAGAAGAAACCAAAGGGGTTAAATCCTCCCTCTCGGAGTCCATGCTGGCTCGGAAGCTGGAGGAAAAAGCCCGGAAACATCCCAACAGAAGTCTGGCAGAATCGCTTGGCACGGGTAAGCCAGAGATTTGAAAAAAGGGAGGATTCATACCAAAGCTTTGCAGCATTGAGAGGCTATCCAGATGCTTTGGTTTTTTGTAATATCCCTATTGCTGTCACAGAATCCCAGTGACAGGAGATGATAAATGACCTTTGAGATGTTACACATTTCTGAGTAATTTTGTGATGAAACCATTGTGCTGTTGGAAGTGGAAGGTACTGTTAAGTTGCAGCTGATTTATGGCAACCCCGCAGGGTTTTCAAGGCAAGAGACCTTCAGAGGTGATTTGCCACTGTCTGCTTCTGTGTAGTCAAGGGTCATTTCCTGCCGGAACGTACTGGAACGGTGCTCCGGCAGTAAGGAGCCCAGGGGTGGCCCCCACTGCCTTTCCTCGCCAAGGGAAAGCCTGCAGAGTCCCCCCTCGCTGCTTGAGGGGATTTAAATGCCTTTCTTTCAAAAAGAAACATGCCTGCCCGTTGTCAGGGGGTGTGGCATATGCAAATGAGTTATGCAAATGAGCTCCTGCACCTCTTTTTCTACGAAATGACCCCTGTGTGTAGTGACCCTGGACCTCCTGGAAGGTCTCCCATCCAAGTGCTAACCAGGGCCGACCCAGCTTAGCTTCCAAAATCTGATGAGGTCGGGCTAGCCTGGGCCATCCGGGTCAGGCTCATTGTGCTGTTAGGCAGCAAAAAAAAGGAAAAAGTTTGCAAAGCATTTTTGCAGCACAAGCTGCAATAAATGCGCTGGAAACAAAAATGTTAAAAGCTCATCGCGTCGGGTTGGGAAGCAGCAAAATGACAAAGAATGCCATTCTTGCCATGTGCTGTGGGTTAGCTAATGCCTGAGGAAAGAGTTTCTGACCCCCCAGAAAGACATCATCAAGGGGGAGGAACCAACATCTCAGTGGAATTAGTTTAATGTAAGGGGAAGCCACCAAGAAGGCCCTGCTTCTGGTGAATGCTACTTTGGCATCCTTTTGGGATAGGATCCTGAGCAGCTGGGAGATCAGGTAGGTTAGTACTGGCATCCTTAAACTAGCAAAAGTTTCTATACAGTGTTCAAGGGCTTCCTTGCCAAGGGGGTGTTGCAGTGATCTAGAACTTTTTCATCTGTCTGGGAAAAAAATTCAGTGCTGTTCATGCCACGTAGTCCAAAGACATCCTCTAATTAAAAAACAACAACCCACCTTTGTTTACACGTTAGAAATGTTCTTCAGGACAATAATCTTTCAGAGAAGATCACGCTATTTTTGATCTAGAGCTTTTTCATCTGCCTGGGGAAAAAATTCAGTGCTGTTCATGCCATGTAGTCCAAAGACATCCTCTAATTAAAAAAAACAAAACAACACCTTTGTTTACATGTTAGAAATGTTCTTCAGGACAATTATCTTTCAGAGAAGATCACACTATTTCCCAAAAGTGAAAGGCTGGGATGGAGGGTAGAGTTACCTACCACGTGATGTGGCTGTTGTAGAGGAGGGATTCGAACTCAGCTTCCCCAGATTGTCTCCCCAGCTCACAATATTGTTTTCCTTACTGAACCATCAGTAAAGGTCCCTGTGACGTGCTTGCTTATTGGGGAGATGGTTTTACCTTTAAAACACTGTGTACATAAAACTTGGTAGATTTTTGCTGCCACCAGGAATTAAAAATTCCAAATCTCTCTCTTTTGGTAGAATGACCTAGGGTCTGGGCACTTCAGAGGACTATATGGCCCTGAGGAAGGACTACTCTGATTGCTAGGATAAGTTTAAACAAAAAATGATTTATTCAATAAAGAACAAACTATCTCTCTCATCTATATAGCCACACAGGCTGAACTCTTTGTCTTATTCACACAGAATTGACTCAAAACTCATATTCACACAGACTAAACTGTCTTATTCACACAGAATAGACTCAAAACCTCCCATAGTCACCCAGACTATGCTCTCTGTTCAAACTTCACACACAGAACCTCTCTCATATACACCCCTCCTCCCACACTCTCAGTCAGCAGCCAATCGCATCACACTTCTCTCCCTCTATCATTCTTCTTACATTACTGCAATCAGACTAAACATTTAAAGAAACACACACACCAAAACATGAAATCACTACAGTCCCCACTTTGGATTTCTGCAAGGCAGAAACCTCAGTTCAACAGCGGAGCGGCTCCCATCACCAGACATTGGGGAATGCTACTTCCTTGTCTCTGCAGCTGTCCAGGAAGCTGGCTTTGAAAAGAGGAGACAACCACATGCAACAAATGAGAGATTTTTATTTTTTAGTGTTTTATTTTTGCTAGCAAACGAGGCAGTTTTTCAGCATGTGAATTGTTTCTTTTCCAGATAATGGCAAGCGGCCAGAGAGCAAGAATTGTGTTCCTGTACGCTACTGCAGCCTGGGGAGTCGGGATTTGGCCAGGTATTCATGCAGATGCTGGTTTCCTACTCTGGCCCTGTCCCCACCCAGATGAGCAGAGGTCCATCAGTGGCTCTTAGCCACAAGGTATAGATAGGAACTCTCAGGCTGGGGCAAGGGATGCTCTGTATTCTTGGCGCCTTGGGGGGGGCAACAGTGGGAGGGCTTCTAGTGTCCTGGCCCCACGGGTGGACCTCCTGATGGCACCTGGTATTTTTGGCCACTGTGTGACAGAGTGTTGGACTGGATGGGCCATTGTCCTGATCCAACATTGGCTTCTCTTATGTTCTTATATGGAGCAGAGGTCCATCAGGGGCTCTTAGCCACAAGGTATAGACAGGAACTCTCAGGCTGGGGCAAGGGATGCTCTGTATTCTTGGTGCTGGGGAGGGGGCAACAGTTGGAGGGCTTCTAGTGTCCTGGCCCCACTGCTGGACCTCCTGATGGCACCTGGTATTTTTGGCCTCTGTGTGACAGAGTGTTGGACTGGATGGGTCGTTGGCCTGATCCAACATTGGCTTCTCTGATGTTCTCTGTGTATACTCTTAAAGTAAGCCATCTCAAACAACTGATTGATCATCACCAACACTTTATGAATTCGTATAAGTTATAACTTAGAAC